CAGCAGAGGGGGCTGTGACCCCGGGCAGTCAGAGCAACAGACGTCACCGGTTCTAGGAGCTTCTCGAGGGCCTGTGGACCCAGAGGACGGCGCCAAGCAGGCCGGGAGCAGGGGCGCCTTCAGGAAGACCAGGAGCAGGAAGTGGGCGCTGCCCAGCAGGGGCCGGCGGGGGACCCGGGGACAGACAGGGAGCAGCATCCTCAGGGGAGGCCCTGGGCTCTCCACCCCCGCCCCCCAGAGCGGAGGCCACGACAACCCACATGAAGATCACCCCCGGACAGGGCAGCCTCTTCCTAAGGACCCCTGCCGCCCTTCTCTCTGCAGAACAATTCCCCGCGAGAATCAGGAGCATGAGGCTGGACGTGGCCGTGAGAATCTCGTGAGGGAGACCAGGGATCCCGGCGGGATCTGGGCAGGAGGAGGATGCCTTCCGAGGCCCTCCGCAGGTGGGGTTACCCTATCTGGGGCACAGTAATCAGTCGTGGGGTTATTTACTGTCTCTTCTCCTATAAACAGCGTTTTCCACGAAGGAAGGGACTGTTTGTTTTATTCACAGGGAGAAACTCGTACCAGGCTGATACCTCTGAAGAACAGCAGTTAAACATCTGCCGTATACTCTAATATGAAATAAAAATTAAACTTTAAAAAAGTCATATGGTGAACATTAAAAAAGTGATGGTAGTAGTTGACGGATGAATGAATGACTCCCTGAGCTCTCTCTGCCCTTGGAGGCTGGGGTTCTTCGACGGGCTGACACGTCTGACCAGGGTTCAAGGTGGGGAGGGGCCACAGTGCAGGAGCCAGTGATGCCCAGAGCTTCTGCCACCTGCTCTACCCTGGACCGGGTCCCGAAGCCTCCTTTTATGGGACATTTGCACTCACTTTTCTCTCTACCTGGAGCCTTATTTCTGCAGAAACCTGAATGCCAGGCTCCCCAGATCCTGCAGGTCTCCCCTCAAAGGATTCAGCCAAGCATCCCTGATTATCATGTGTTAAATAGCAGATCTAATCATATTCCCACACACACTCTCACCAAACCCCAGTGACTGGTATTGCTCCGTAGTACTCATCACAAACCACCATCTTTACATAGGAACTCTGTGTGGACTGGCCCAGGGCATGACTTCCCCCTTAGAGCACAGTTCTCATCAGAGTAGGATCCTGTCTGGGTGGTCTTACCTGCATCCACAGCAGAGCACCAGGCACGTAGTGGGACCTTCACAATCAGGTGTGGGAATAAACGAGGGGCCCAGAGACGGAAGACCAAATCCCCCACCTGTCCCCTCACCCAGAGGAGAAACCACCCGGGTGCCCTGTCCTGGGACGTGGGCCCCTTACCGAGGAGGGTGGCTGGGATCAGGGGTCTCCTGACCAGATGCGGTGCTCCAGGTGTGCCCTGGCAGGGTCGTGGGAGAGCCTGGGGAGACTGTGGCCCTCTCGGGGCTAGTGGCTGTAGCAGGGGCTGAGAGAGAAGCGCAAGGCAGGCCCTGTCTCCTTCCCCTGGTCCCCACACGCCGGCCTGGTGTGGATGTGACTCACACAGTCAGGGTCACTCAGGCCACCTGATCAGATGTACTGTTTCCACCGCTCCCCATGGTCTCACCCAGGGCTGACCAGCACCCTGGGCCCCCTCCCCCCAACCTTCAGATGCACCTTGGCCAGGTGGGCACGGTCAGATGCAGAGTGGAGAAAAAGAGGGAGAAACAGGCTTAGCCCAGCAGGGCCGGAGGAAGTCCCCCAGAGCCGCTGAAGAAGCCTCACTCAGGTCGGGGGCACGGTTTGCACTTTCCTTGGGGTTACAAGTAAAGCCCCAGAACCCCGGGAGGGCCTTCCAGAACACTGTAGGGTCATTGGTGGCCTCTGGGCCAGCACAAGGGCAGAGTGTATATTGGATCGTGGTGGAGAAGCCCGCCGCAGGTGCAAACTCTGCTCGGGCAGCTCAGGGACAAACAGCCTGGAAAGCACAGTCGGGTCCGGCTTTCACCAGATGGGCCTGGGTCAGAAGAGCCCCAGATGCGGGTCCCTCAGCTGCCCGTGGGATCTGGAGGAGGCCAAGGCAGAAAGGGAGCCTTCCTCAGACCCAGGGGAGGAAGACGGGGAGGAACTCCCTCCTCACCGAGGAGAGGGTGTCCTCAGAGACAGAAGGACCCAGCATGGGAACACTTCCGTGTGGGTGTCGGGGGGGTGCCCCAGGAGGTCATCTCTGACTGTGACCGTTGAGGTGTGACCATCACAGGCGCCCCCTCCCACCAGCACAGTGGACCAGCCTCACCTGCTTCACAGCCTGAACCCTCCTGCTCGCTGCTGAGACAGGTGGCGGCCCCTCCTGGGACCTNCACAGGCGCCCCCTCCCACCAGCACAGTGGACCAGCCTCACCTGCTTCACAGCCTGAACCCTCCTGCTCGCTGCTGAGACAGGTGGCGGCCCCTCTTGGGACCTTCGCCCCCCTCCCCCTGCTCACCCACCTCCAGCCCTGCCCCCTCCCCTCCCCCAGGAAGGGCTCAGCCGCTCACCTGGGACCTGGAGCAGCAGCAGAGCTGAAGGCAGCCACCCGGCCCTGCTCCTCGGGGTCATTTCCCCAGCAGGGATGTCACCTGCAGCAGCGCCAGGCCCCGGGCAGGGACAGGGTCAGGCCTCTTCAGGGGATTCCCTCTTGGTGCCCACTTCTCTGCGCCTCTCCGCTCCTTGTCCAGCCCTGTCCCTGTTCCCNCCCTCCCCATCCCCACTTCCGCTCCTCTGGGCCTCTCTGCTTCCTGGTTCCGTCCCAGGTCAGGTCAGATGGTCCAGGGGGCAGGGGGCAGGAAGCTTAGGGGGAGGGGCACTCGGCTGGTCCTGGGCAAGGACCCGCTGCCCTCAGCTCCACTCTGCCCAGCGACTAGACACGTGCCGAGCCCCTCGATCGGGGAGGCTGGCCCCTTCTCACCCAACCCACAGTAGGTCCTCTTCCGGTCTCACACGCCCATCCACAGCAGGGACAAGCGGGTTCCTCTTCGTGGCACATCCTCACCCTCTGCGAAACGTCATTTCGTTCTGGTCAGGATGGGAAGTCTGAGGGTGGATGTCATGCTCATCCACCCTCCCCAGTCCTGGTGGTGACCAAGTGGTCACTGTCCCCCCATCTGCAGCTCCAGGTGACCACAAGACTCTGCCCCCACAGGACACAAAGTCCTCTTCCCACCCTGCAAATCTGCACCCATACCCCAGACGACCCCCTACGTCCCATCCTGGCTCTGGTTCCCCCCAGGGTACACATCCCTCGGGCTGGGGCTCCCCCCGTCTCGGGCCCCTCGCTGCCCACATTAGACACAGATCAGCGGTTCCCAGCCTTCCTTGACCCCTTCTTCACGCTCCACCTCTGGACAGAGTCTACTCCCCTTTGAGAAGCAGAGAGAGACTGAGGACGGACAGGAGCCAGAGGAGAAGATGCTGGGTGGAGGGATGAGGAGCTGGGGACCTGGGGGCTGAGAGGAGCCTCCTCCCCCGTCAGTGGCACACGGGGGGCGGTTGTACAACAGGGGCCCGAGGGCAGACTGCCGGGCCTCTCCTGGATCCACGATGAGCAGGGGCCTCTTCACGGTGCAGAGATGAGGGAGGGACCTGCCCACAGACACGAGACACCGCCCCTCCTCGCTCACAACGGCATTCTCACGTGACATGCAGGGCCATGGAGTCATAGCTTCCTGGGCAGTGGGATGGGGTTAACAGGGAACTGCAGTCCTGCCCTCGGGTAGGTTTTCTCAGCTTCTCAAGATTGTCTGCAGAAACCAGGGTCTCCCATCCCTCCCATGCGGGTCTTAACTCTCCCCACTTCCCGGGCACGGGCAGTGGACCTGGGTCCCAGGGCACAGCTGGAGAGATGCAGTAGAGATGGGTCACTCTGCTTGACTGATCACTGACCACCCCAGCGACTCCTGCCCTTCTCCAGATGAAGCCCCCGCGTTCTGACCAGGCCTCTCCCACAGCTCGTGGCAGCACGCAGAGGCCCAGAACTCAGCCACCTCATCCTGACTCCAGATCCACCCCCAGGCTGCCCCTCTCCCCACACTGGGCCTCACCCAGACCCTTGGACCCCTATTCCTCCTCCTGACCCACAGCCAACACCCTTGACGGTACCACTTCTGACCCTCCCAGCTGAGTCTGGTTCTCTTGCTGTCTGTCCCGTTGGACCATTGGACGCCCCCTCTGGGGCTGATCTGGGGTTTGTGGCTGCCTGTGTGTCTGCATCTGGGCTGTGGCCCCAGGAGCTGATGTCACCTTCCTGCCTGAAGCCCAGTGTCTTTCCAGCATGGCTTGTGGCAATTCAGCTAAGGGATCAGTGACTGCACTCCTCTCTCAGGACTCCCGTGCTTTCAGGAAACTAACCTCTCCAATCCTGCTTTTCTTTTTTCTACCCAGGCTACTGAACATGACTGGACCATGATTCTTGGAGAACTTGGCACCAGTGGGCCCTGCACGCAGCTGCCCTCTGCTCTCCCCTGGATCCGCATCTAAGATGCTCCCAAGGCCGGACGTTTGCACCTGCAGTTCCGTTTGCCTGAGGCTCTTCATCCAGGTGCGCACAGGGCTCACTGCATTGCTTTCTTCTGGACTTGGTTAAAGATCACCCTCTTCACCAGGCTGATAGCACTCATCCCTTACTGTCTCACCAATAGCACCTCCTCTTATCTTGTGTTACTAAAGATACCCTTCAGTGTGGACTTGACTAAGATGCTCCCAAGGCCGGACGTTTGCACCTGCAGTTCCGTTTGCCTGAGGCTCTTCGTCCAGGTGCACACAGGGCTCACTGCATTGCTTTCTTCTGGACTTGGTTAAAGATCACCCTCTTCACCAGGCTGATAGCACTCATCCCTTACTGTCTCATCAATAGCACCTCCTCTTCTCTTGTGCTACTAAAGATACCCTTCAGTGTGGACTTGGACATTTCTGCATGTCTGCATACCTGTACTATTGTGTCTGTTATTTATCTCTGTCCACCAACTGGAATGTGAGCACCAAAAGCTGAGCTTTTTCTTCTGTTCAATCATGGTTGGAGGTAATGCCTAGGTTACTGGTTACTACTTTGGTCCTCTCCCCATATATTTGCTGCATGAAAATGGGGTGCAGTTCCCCAGGTCCTGGCTGCTTCAAATAGATGAGTCAAGATGATAACCTGCCTCTCACAGATCTTTGGTGCTGGCAAGTTCATCATGATGCAGTTTGAACTGAAACTCTGGGAAGCCTACCCAGGTCTTTGGCTCTACAAGTCATGGCGACTAAGCTAATGAATAGAAGACTCACTCATGGCCCCTCAATCGATTTAAAAACTTGAACCGGGTCTATAACCACGGGCCTTGAATGATGGGGTGAGGGTGGGGCTTGAGTTACCTTTGAACAGGAGGAAGGAAGGATTCTGCGACAGTTGCATAAATTTCATACTGTTATTTTTCTACCAGCCATCCGCAGAGGACCTAAACATACTAACCAGTTTGACTGGGCATGGGGAATGGAATAATCTGATTTGCCGTGCAATGCTGGATTCTGTTCTGAACCTACACCAATTGGAGAAATCCATATGGCCCTTCGGTCCATTAGACAGAACACTGGGGTGTGAAGGTTCGTGCAGAATGGAGTCATGATTCAGGTCCCGTGCGTGCTGGCCCCGTGGACCGTCGACTCTCTGCATTGTTGTTTCCTGAGCTTTAGAATGCCTAATTAAATAGACACAATCAGCAACTGGAGGATTCCCCACAGTGGATCTGAGACCTGTGGAGGGTGGGTGATTACGGTACCACGGATGATGTGGGAAACCATGGGACTGCCTGGATCCATCAAAACAGATCCAAAAGGAAGATTCCCACACTCCTGGGGTTTGAAGACTGCAGAGAGGGCACCTGAGAGTTCAGTGCATGACTGATGCTCCCCGGATGAGTTGGCAGCTCTGAACTCGATTTTGATCTGTGGTTACAGTTCAGAAGCACCTATAGAGGAGGTATGCTTTTGGTTTTAGAGACTCATGGGCAAGGAAAGAGAACTAGAGGGAAATCCACAAAGACAGTATTCTGAGAGAGAGGTAGAGTGTGATACAGGACAGATGGACAGAAGGCCATTTCCATCCAGTGGTCTGACTGCATCATCGAAGAGGACACGATGAACCTGGGGGCTACTGGTTCTCATAAATGGACCGACTCCGCCTGTCTGCAGAGCTCCTCAGAGGCCTGTTGACCCAGAGGATGGCACTGAGCAGGCCCAGGAGCAGAGGCACCTTCAGGAAGACCAGGAGCAGGAAGTGGATGCTGCCCAGCAGGAGCCTGTGGGGCACACGGGGACAGACAGTGAGCAGTATCCTCAGGGAGGCCCTGGGCTCTCCACCTTGCTTGCCCCGTGTCCAGGTTCTCTGGCTACAAGAATCTAAACAAGGATCAACCCAACACAGAGCAGCCCCACCTGAAGGACTTCTGGAGCCTGATCTTCCAGAATTGCCCCTGACACTTAGGACTGTGGACATAAGGGTGGATGTGGCTATGAGAATCATGTGAGGGAGACCAGAGATCCAAGGGGGACCTGGGCCTTAGGAGGGTCTCTGTCTGAGCCCTCCTCATGGGGGCTTCCCCAGAGGCCCACAGGGTAAAGAATCTGCCTGCCATGCAGGAGACACCTGGGTTGGATTCAGGGTCAGGAAGATCCTCTCAAGAAGAGAATGGCTACCCACTCCAGTATTCCTGCCTGGAGAATCCATGGACAGAGGAGCCTGGTGGGCTACAGTCCGTGCGGGTCACAGAGTCAGACACGACAGAAACATCTAAGACCCTCCTCATGTGGGGGATTTGCAGTCGAGGGTATGGAACCCAATACTGGGAGACTTGGTTGAGGTCTGCTAGCCAGTGGAGAATCACCACCTCGAGCACAGGGACTCATCCGTCTTATTCAGTGAGCAGCCGGTACCTGCCCAGGGTCTCCAAAGCTCCAGTCCTTAAAAGCCCTTGGCTGGTGAAAGAGTGACCCCCTCAGCTCTGCACCCTCAGAGGCCAGGCCTCTTCAGCAAGATGATACTGATGAGCAGGGCTCCAGGGGACAGAGGGGTCACCCACGCCCAGAGCATCTGCTTCCGCCACTGCCCCTGGCTGGGGGCCTTTGGTTCAACCTGTTCCTCCGTGTGCCTGGGGCCATATTTCTGAGGATCCCAGTATACCTAGCCCCCCAGATCCTGCAGGCCTCCACTGTAATGTCTGTAATCAGTTAGGTGCCCTCTCATCATTGTGTGTTAACTAGCAAACTCCACCACCCTCCCTCCCATGCTGGCCCATCACCCAGGTGACATTGTCCTGCAAGCAATCATCAGGAGGTGGTGTATTTATACCACCGACCTGTCGATCTGTTTGTTATGTGAGTCCCCTCTTAGAACACGACTCTGTCAGGGCAGGACTGGGTCTGTGTGCTTTGCTACTGTAGCCCAAGTCAACGAGAGCTCCGGGCACTTAGTAGGACCCTTACGGCTTGTTACAGAATTTGTTGAATAAATTCGGGTCTTTGGTGAAGGGAGACTTGCCTATTACTCCCTGGGCTCACTGAGAAATCACCCAGGTGAGATGTCCTGGGATGGGGGTCCCTTACCGATGAGCTTGGCCAGGATCAGGGGCCTCCGGCCCAGACACGGTGCTCCAGGTGGGCACTGGCAGGGTCGTGGGAGCCTCCGGGGTGCTTGTGGACCTCTTGGGGCTGGTGGTTGTCATAGTGACTGAGGGAGAAACACAAGTCAGGCCCCGTTTCGTCCCCTGGGTCCCCTCCCTCCGTCCCAGTGTGGTTCTGACTCACAGTCAAGGTCACTCACGCCATCTGGATGGACGTGCTGTGTCCACCACCCCCGTGGCCGCACCCAGGCCTGACCAACACCCTGGGCCCCCTCGCTGCCCCTCTCCAGATGACCCCAGGCCAGATGGGCACTGGTAGAGGCATATGGCCCTGCTCCCCTGGGGATCTGAGAGTGTAGAGAGGGCACTTGGCTCCAGGTCACCCCAGCCACAGACACACCTCTGTCCTCCAGGCCACCCTGCCAGGGGACAAACGCGGTGACCAGTACTCTTTAGGGATTAACACAGAGAGACGGGTCGGACAGTGACATGCCTGGGGAGAGGCTGGAGTGACGCTCAGACAGAAAGTCCTGCAGCTGAGTCTGAGCTGAATCAGGAGACCCTGTGTCCCTGTCAGCCAGGCCCAGGGCCCCAGGCGATCCTCTACGTGGGAGGGCATGATAGAAAGATCTAGAGAAATACCGACCTGGTGGACCCCATGAAGTGTGGCCTCTCCTGAGGTTAGTGGACAAAGCCCTTCCCCGACACACCCCACGGAACCAGTAAACTTTCGCTTCTGTTCTTGTGAAGAGAAACACACAAAGGAAACGTGCCTCGCGAGAGAGAAGCAGCGGCCAGCAGGAAGGAGCTCGGGGAGCCGGGGGCGACGTCAGAGCAAGCAATCAGGGGAGAAAGCGTATGTGTGCACAGAGGATCGTGGCTGGCTTCCTAGGACACCAGAGTAGCCTTCTGTGAAAGAAGACTTACTGGGGCTTCCCTGGTGGTCCAGTGGCAAAGAATGTGCCTCCCACTGCAGGGGACGGGGGTTCGATCCTTGGTCTGGGAAGATCCCACACGCCACTGGGCGTGCACAATGCCTGAGAATGTGCTCTAGAGCCCACGCTCCGCGGCAGGAGACGCCACCGAGCAAGAAGCCCGAGCGCCGCAGCAAAGAGCAGCCCACACTCGCTGCAGCCGGAGAAGGCCCGGGTGCAGCAGCCAGGACCCAGCACGGCCAGAGACAAAGAAAGGAAAGTTTAAGGATTCATTTTCGGCACGTGGCGGTCTACTGAGGGCCATGACACCTCCTAAGAGCCCTGTTCCTCATCCTTCTTTGCCTAACGGGCCCCTCTGGGTTTCCTCCTTGGGTACCAGGTGCCAGAGGAAGAGGGAGAGGCAAGGTCTGGCTGGAGCAGGGAGGGGTCTCCAAAGCATCCAGAGCCCCATGTGGGCTCCGGGACCCTGCCTCCCCCCTCTCGCGGCTGCTGCAGATCCCCAGGACCACCAGGGTGAGGCTGGGGCCCCAGGAGCCTCCACGACACTACAGTGTCCTCTCCTGGCCCTGCTGGCCCCCGCCCCCGAGGGCTGGCCAGAGCGGTCCAGGAAGAGACCCAGGGTCACCTTCAGAGTGGACCTGACCCTTGCCCGATCAGGAGGCCAGCAGGCCCCCAGATTCAGGGCGTCTCCCCCTCCCCTTCCACTCAAGAGAGCTTCAGGTTGAGGGTGTGTCAGGGCGGGACACAGAGGAGGTCTCGAAGAACCAGAGGTGCACATGTGCCTGCCGACCACTCAGAGCCTGGGTCCTGATCACCGATCCCAGGACACCCTCTGCTCCAGGTCCTCCCTGAGGGTCAGGGTCCCAGGTACGGTCAGCAGCCCTAGAGCTGACGTCGCAGGCTCACCTGGGATCACAGACACCTCCACCGGGAACGTGGGGTCAAATGAAAGTGACACATGGATGCCACATCCATATGTTCCTGCATCCTCCTCTCTGAGGTTCTCCAAGGTCACTGTGAAGGTGAGGTTTGCAGGATGGTCTCTGATGGACACGCGGCCCTTCCTCACTTCTCTCGCAGACCCTCCAGTCTCCACAGTATTCCATAAACAGGGGGATTTGCACCAGAATTTGTTGTTTCGCCAGAATTCCTCCCGGTACCGACACGCCACGCTCAGCGATCCCCCCACGATGCCCGTCACTCTGCTCGGGCAGCTCAGGGACAAACAGCCTGGAAAGCACAGTCGGGTCCGGCTTTCACCAGATGGGCCTGGGTCAGAAGAGCCCCGGATGCGGGTCCCTCAGCTGCCCATGGGGTCTGGAGGAGGCCAAGGCAGAAAGGGAGCCTTCCTCAGACCCAGGGGAGGAAGACGGGGAGGAACTCCCTCCTCACCGAGGAGAGGGTGTCCTCGGAGACAGAAGAGCCCAGGATGGGAACACTTCCGTGTGTGTGTGTCGGGAGGGTGCCCCAGGAGGTCATCTCTGACTGTGACCGTTGAGGTGTGACCATCACAGGCGCCCCCTCCCACCAGCACAGTGGACCAGCCTCACCTGCTTCACACCCTGAACCCTCCTGCTCGCTGCTGAGACAGGTGGCGGCCCCTCCTGGGACCTTCGCCCCTCTCCCCCCGCCACCCAGCTCCAGCCCTGCCCCCTCCACTCCCCCAGGAAGGGCTCAGCCGCTCACCTGGGACCTGGAGCAGCAGCAGCGCTGAAGGCAGCCACCTGGCCCTGCCCCTCGGGGTCATCTCCCCAGCAGGGATGTCACCTGCAGCAGCGCCAGGCCCCGGGCAGGGACAGGGTCAGGCCTCTTCAGGGGATTCCCTCTTGGTGCCCACTTCTCTGCGCCTCTCCGCTCCTTGTCCAGCCCTGTCCCTGTTCCCCACAGTCCTCCTGGCGGCCGGCGCTGAGCCGCGTGCAGAAAGCTCGGGGTGAGGAGCAGAAGGATGTGCGACGCCGGCCGGTGACCCCCGGCTCCTCTCCGTCTGGTGACTGGACGTGCGTGGTCGCTTCCGAGGATGAGTGGCCCACTCAGCTCAGCCCACAGCTGCCCTCTGAGTGTCTCACACGCACCCCCCCAACACCTGGGCCACACTGGGCTGTCTCCGAGGCGCGTCCCCACCCTTGGTGATGCATCATTTCCTCTGTGGTCAGGGTGGATGGCTCCGGGGGCAGGTGCCAGCTTCCTCCATCCTCTCTGGCCTGGGTGGTGACCACAGTGGGTCTGTGTCCCGCCGACCTGCAGATCCATGCACCCGTGAGAGCACCGCCCTGTGGAGCGTCAGGCTCCTCTTCAGTCAACCTCAGATGCTCCCAGGAGGTCCTGTCAGGTCCGAGCGCAAATCCCACAGCCCAGGGCTTCCCTCCGGGTGTGCATCCTGGATCCCCGACACAGACAGGGAGCCACTGACCCCATCGCTCCATATTCCTCACTGTTTCCTCTTCTTTTGAGAGTGGACTGAATCGTGAGCCTCAGGACAGAGAGCTGAGTGTGAGCAAGGGCAGCTCAGCGATGAAAGATGCTCAGGGGGACGCTGGGACCCCTGGAGTCACGGGCCATTTACCCTCCACCCAGGGGCGTGGAGGGGGTGGCTGCACATCACGCGGGCAGTCTGCCCGAAGACACCAGAGCTGGCCTCTCCTTTGAGTTCGAAGGGATGAGCAGAGATGCCGAGAGCGGGGGTGGTCCTTCCCAGGAGGTAGGCAGGCAGGTCTGTCCTCACTCAGAGTGACTCATCCTCATGACGTGATGGTTTAGGGTCAGTTACCCCTGGGATTGACAGGGAGGTCGGTCCAGGTGCAGGGTCATCTCACCCACATTATATGTTTCTCAACCTTGTCCTGCACAAGCCAGGTCTACTGATTTCCTCCTAAACACTCTCTTCCCAGCTCTGTTCCTCTTCTAGACTCTCTTATCAAGATCAGAGGCCACAATATTCCTGGAACCCAAATCCTGTAGTCCTTGATTTCTCTAACTCTCGCTCTTTCTCCCTCCTTTCCCCCTGGTATTATAACAGCCCTCTCCCCCTACAACACTGTGATTACAGCTGTCTCCATCTCAATCCTCCTCATGCCCTTTCTGTTTGTATGTTATGACTCGATAAAAGAATTTAAGCACCAATTTAGAAAGAATAAAATATAGCTGTGTGCAGCAATATGAATGGACCTATAGAATGTCATACTGAATGAAGTAAGTCAGACAGGGAAAGACAAATATCATATGATATCATACATGGAGTCCAGTTTTTTAAAAATGATATAAAGACACTATTAACGAAACAGAAATAGACTCGCAGATTTCAGGAAAAAATTATGGTTTACCAAAGGAAAAATGTGGGTGGGGATAGGGATATGTTAGGAGTTTGAGCTTAACAAACACATAGTACTCTACATAAAATGGATAGCCAACAAGGATTTACTGTGTAAAACAGGGAACTCTGCTCAGTATCATATAATAACCTATATGGGAAAAGGATCTGAAAATAAATACATGTATGTGTGTAACTGAATCACATTGCCGTACACTTGAAACTAATATGACATTGTGAATCAAATAAACTCTAATAAACCTTTTTAAAAAGAATTTAAAAACCAAAACATGGAAATAAAAAAGTCAGGAACACACATGCAAAATCAAAATGCGAAATTATACTTCGGAACGTTTGCTTGATTTTTTTTGTTGGGGGGGAGGGAATTTATCATTTACTGGTCTTTTCATGTAGTAAAGAGTGTATCGCTAAACCTCACCTCTCCCCAGCTACCTTTCCCACGAATCAGAAGGTAAACAAACTGCATGTGTGCATATTCAGTCGCTCAATCGTGTCTGACTCTTCACAACCCCCTCAACTGCAGCCCACCAGGTCCCCCTTTCCATGGGATTTCCCAGGCAAGAATACTGGAGTGGGTTGCCATTTGCTTCTCCAGCGGATCTTCCTGAACCAGGGATCGAACCTGCATCTCCTGCGTTGGCAGGCGGGTTCTTTACCCCTGGGAAGCCCCTCATATAATTTAAGACTATAAATTTGCCTTTTATCGTGACCGTGGCTGCATCTCACAATTACTGACACCTGATATTTTTAGCGAGTATTTTCTAACTTCCGTAAGGATCACTATTTTGATCCAGGAGGCTTTTTCTTCTTCTACTTGTATTGAGCTATAACTGACACAGAGCACTGTGTAAGCTTTAGGTGAATAGCATAATGATTTGACATCATGAAATAATCATAAGGTTTTTGAAAGTATGTCTTTTGCTTCACATGAATTTGTGTTAAAATCATTTCATTATTGATTTTGAACTTAACATATTTATTGGCCCTAAAATGCTACACAAGATGTATTAAGAAAAAAAAAAGATGCATTAAGATTTCAGAAATGTTAAGATGTGGGAAAATGGCAANGGGTTGACTTCCTTTAGGAAGGACTGGTTGGATCTCATCTGATCTCCCAGTGTAGGCGGGCATCCTTTAGTCGGTCCAATGAAGTTAGCCTGATGGGTGGAGGAACAAGGTCTTCAGCCCTTCCTGCCTGGTTGCTTCCTATCCTTGACTCTTCTGCTTCTCAAACTTTTGAACTTGGCGTGAGTCGTACAGACAGCAGACGGTGGTGTTACCAGGTAAGCCAATTCCTTATAATACATCTCTTCATATGCAAACATCTCCTATTGTTCCCTTTTTCTAAAGTGTTGATCAACATAGGTGTGTATCTGGTGGCCCTGTGGGAATTTCCTTCTTCAACTCTCAAGTCTGCTCATGAAGACCTAACTCAGAAAGATTTCCTGCGAGGAACTGACACAGAGATCCCAAACCTCTATGAGGGAAATAAAGCTGATACTCCTGATCCACTCCCCTCCAAAGAAAGGCAATTACTTGGCTTTAAGCCCAGGCAGTAAAGAATCCGCCTGCAATGCGGGAGACCTGAGTTTGATCCCTGGGTTGGGAAGATCCCCTGGAGGAGGGCATGGCAACCCTCCTACGGAGTGACACCCCCAACACACAGACATCCCCCGGAGCTGATGAGCTGTTTGTGTTTCAGAGGGCTGCTAGAGAGGCATGGAGAGCAAAAAGCCTAAAATGTCAAGTGGAGCATTAAATAGCATGGGAATCAACCAGAGTGAACTTGATCGGGACAGAGTAAAGGGACAAAGTAGGTGATTAAATAGTTACACCACTAGGGGTTGGAAGTAGAAAATAAATGGGTAGTGGGTGCGTGAAACCAAAAGTCACTCAGTCATTGCAAAGTTGCAAAGTCAGACTCTTTGCAACCCCATGGACTATACAGTCCATGGAATTCTCCAGGTCAGAACACTGGAGTGGGTAGCCTTTCCCTTCTACAGGGGATCTTCCCAACCCTCGGGTCGAACTTAGGTCTCCCACATTGCAGGTGGATTTTTTACCAGCTGGGCTACAAATCTTGTAAGTTGATGATTACTCACGAAAGCAGGTTTGCTTAACCACAAAACCAAGCAGGCTTGCTCAGCAACAAAACCATGCAACAGAAGCACAAGACATGCCTCCCCAAAATAAAACAATGATGGCATGAGCCCCACATCCTGTCCAGTGAGCTCAGTAATTAATGCTTTCTGCACACATAAAAAACAATAATTTGTGGACCTAGCTTGACTGTGTGGGGACAAGAAAACTCTACTACTCAATCTGGAGGAGGAGCTGATGATGGAAACACTACATTTACTCGAGAAAAACAAAGTTCTTCTCCTCTTCCTCACTTTTCCTTTGATTATAAAACTGTAACCCAGTAAGTTCTCAGGCATGATATCTCTCAGCCACCCTTTTGTAAGCCTCACAAGCATCCTATTCTAATAAATCATTTCTTATGTATCACTTTGCTGTCACTGAATTCTTTGCATTGAGACATAAAAGACTGTAGTACCAACAAACAGATGGAGAAATATACCGTGTTCAAGGATTGGAAGAATCAATATTGTCAAAATGGCTATACTACCCAAAGCACTCTATAGATTCAATGCAATCCCTATCAAACTACCAATGGTATTTTTCACAGAACTAGAACAAATAATTTCACAATTTGTATGGAAATACAAAAAACCTCGAATACCCAAAGTAACCTTGAGAAAGAAGAATGGAACTGGAGGAATCAACCTGCCTGACTTCAGACTATACTACAAAGCCACAGTCATCAAGACAGTATGGTACTGGCACAAAGACAGAAATATAGATCAATGGAACAGAATAGAAAGCCCAGAGATAAATCCA